ACGAAATGGGACCTACTGTATGCACCTATCAGTGCGTAATGGCTTTGGTTCATGCTTTGGTTCATGCGGGTTCAGGGCTTTGGTTCATGCGGGTCCAAGCAAAGACGCGCGCCACCGGTCACCGGCGCGGGTCTGATCAGGCTCTGGGACATGTAGGGGGTACGCTCTGGTACCTCCCAGTACAAGTGTGCCACATGGTCCTGGGTCGGTTCTCCACAACAGGCACAGGACCACAGTGTGCCACTGGTGGAGCAGCCCATGGATGAGAGACCATGGCCAGCACCGCCTTCGGCCTGTACAGCTCAGACAGGCTCTCATTCAACCATTTTAAAATAATAATCACATACATCATTTGAAGATAATTTTATTTCTTTATATTTTCTTTTGGATGCTTTGGTCTGGCGGTCCTCCCCCTGGGCTGCTGAGCACTTCTTATATGGGCTGCGCTAAACGCCTTTTTGTTACCATTTTAAGGTTGCTCCCTTTTTTTTCACTTGTAGCATAAATTTATGAATTCTTACTATTGGCTCAATATATCAACTGTTTGATATAATATAGCGTATTTTTCTTCGAACATGAATAAACTCACCTCTTCAGGAGTGCGTGTTGCAGGCTCTCCTGCTCCGTGAAGTTATTTTTCCTTAGCCGTTTACTCACTAACCAGACCCTGCGCCGTATACGTAATTACATATATGTTTTGCCTCATTCACCTCTGGTAAAGCAATGTTGGTTTTCCTTAGTTTTGTGCATAAAGCCCCATAAACGCAATTGATCTTGCTCAAAACTGCTCATCCACTGCCCTGTTCTCCGCAGAGCAGAGATAGGATGCAACGCGCATGTATTGTATTATATGTACTCAGTGGCGGCTGGTGGAACTTTCTACTGGGGGGGCTATGAATATGATGACTAGATATATACCAGCAGTAAGTAAGTTTACACTGACTGTTGTGACTGGAAGCCTCACACGAGAATTTTTGATAGGATGTGGTCTATTCTTGTCAACCTCCTCATTGTGCTTTCTGATCCCTACCCTGTAGCTTTCATCCAGCTGGGATGAAATATTTATCTTCCCAAACATAGCTAATTTGAGGGCATTTTGCATGTGGATACCAGTCTGCTCATGCTTCTTTGCCTTTTCTAAAAAGTGCTTCAGATCAGTCATACCTGTCTTGATCCATGCTGGGTCAGATCCTGATGTTTGAAACAAGAGGCATGGAAAGCAAAATAAAGCATTAGCCTCGCTACATGCTGCTAGCCAAGATTTGGCGCTGAACCAGGTCCTGGAAAAAGTACGAGTGTACCGTCTCCCCCTGTGGCTGGACTGCTGACTAATGGTAATATTTGGCTGATCAGGTCCAAGCTCTTAACCTCAACCTTCTCCTGGTATGATCTTCTCTCAAACGGTATTGTTTTGAGTGATCTAACTGAATTATTCTTTTTCTCGTTCTCCATTTTGCGTCCTTTACGTTCGTCTCAAACTCCCACAGCTTGACCTGTCAATCCCTGTAAACGGACGTCACAGACAGTGGACAGTACAGGTCGCGGGCGATCCCGCCCCCTCAGGGCGCACTTCTCCTGCTCCCCCAAAATCGTCTTATCTCTTGCATGAAGAGGAGCTACTGCGCATGTACAACTTTTAACGAGAGTCCATAGACGGCTCAGGGCGCAAAAGATTGCGCCCTGAGGCGGAAATACGTCCTCAGTCCGACACAGACAACGCTGATGAGCTTAATCAATCCAACTCAGCATAAACTATAAAGTATTTCTTCCACATCTGAAATATAAACACACATAAATTTCGAAATATTTTAATGGTATTATTTTTTTTAACGTTTTATTCAAGGTAACATGGCAAGTTGTGAGTGGTGGGGCGGCGCCCTAGCGCCCTCTATTGGCCGGCCGCCACTGTATGTTACTTTATTTGAACAGGGACAAAAGGAGAGATGCATCTACCAGGTTATAGCAGAGATGCATCTACCCAGGTTATAGCAGAGATGCTAATTTCCACCTGTAGTCCCTGGGCAGGCTGGTGTTATATTCATTTAAACTGATTACAATGTAGATGGATACATGACTGTGTCTTACATTTACAGGCTTTAAAGTAACAAGATTCACAAAACATTAACTTTAATAACAATAAATAAAGCTCCCCAACTTCTACTAGAATATTACCCTCACTCACTCACTCACTCACTCACTCACTCGTGTGTAAAAACTTGCTTTTTCAGAAGCCATTTCTTAGTCAGCCAAGAAAATGTTTTAAATGTAGTACACGCAATGATCTCTGTGGGGCAGTGTGTTCCACGACTCATGGCCGTCACAGAAAAAGCAGATTTAGCAAAAGTTGTTCTACATTTTTTGAAGCTGCATTCTCCTCTAGAAGTGGATCGAGTGGTTCTGGTCATTTTGTCGGCACTCAATGAAAACACATTTTCTTAGAGGAGGTGCACTAACACTATGGATAATTTTAAACAGCAAACAAACATTGGAGTAAAATGTTAGGTTGTTCAAAGTTGAGAAAGTCATATTTAGAGAGGATGGGACAGTGATGGTACCGCCTGGACTTCTTATCATGGATCTTAAGGGCACACTTGTTACAGTGACTCGAGAGGTCCCAGAGTGGTTTTAACAGCCCTTGAGACCAGCTCGAGACACAGTATACAAAATGTGACAGGATCATGCAGTTCAGATACAGATGGGACGCCTCAGTGGTGAGTGAACCCCGAATGTATCTGAAGTTTGGCCAAATTAAACTTAAGAGTGGTTACGGAGGTTTCTTTACATGATTGTTTGAAGGTCAGGTTTCGATCTGACCTGTCGCAAAAACAGGGCGTGGAACAGGCAGTTTCTGAATATTTATAGGCGTGACTTTGATAAATACGCTGGTTTTGAGCGCGGCATTTATCAACAGCCGCAGGTGCGTACGCTCAGATCTGTGCGTATCTCACATGTTCATAAATTCCACGTCGGATCTTGCATAAATGGAATATACACCCAAAATATACACCCTTTTCTGCGCAACTTTCATACATGCGCCCATTGTGTGTACATTTGGGAATGCTATGATAAATTTTACTGCTTATGTGACGATCTAAAACTCATTAAACACTTAAACGTGTGTTATTTATTGTTCACAACCGCAGCTTTGAGTGGTTTTCGCATTGCCTCATATGTGATACTGGGCGGAGGTCAAAAAAGATAATTTCGTGGGTTGTGCACAAGGTGGCAGTGGTTGATTCATCCCTTTAGCAAAAACTTCACGGAGCTGCTGACTATACAGTCCATGCTGCTGACAGAGATGAGGAAAACAAGTCAATGCGCTTTTCGCTAGACACCCCTTGATGAGCGCTTTTTACATCAAAGAAGTGAATCAACTTTAGAGACACTCGTGCACTGCAGGAAGGTGCACAGGAGAGAGCTTGCTCTGAGGAAGGTGTTCAGGAGGCACTCAGAAGGCGCAAGGATCAGCATGGGCTGGTCCAAGCAGCCTAGTAAGTGATAGGGACCCATCAGAAAACACCACGTGTAAGCGTCGCATATTCCTGCCGCTGTCTGCGAAAAAGCGGAGGAGGATCTAGGTTTTTATTTTCTTATTACACTATATTCCTAAAAAAAAACATTTGTATTCTAATTGTACATTCGTATTGTTGTTGTTGCAATGCATTTTCATATGGATCAAAGTGCATCTACAGTGGTCATTGTAAAGGAGGTATAACTCTTCATATAAATTGAATTATTCCTTCATAAATGCGTTTTTTTGTAGCCTACCCCCCCACGCCATAAGATATATCTATCTTATAAATGTCCCATAGACCCAGAAATGTATGTGTCAGAACAAAAAAAAAAACCCTCAAAAAATGAATTGTAATAAAACGGTCTCGATCCTCCTGTTCTAGGAAAATTCACAAGGAGTTTCATGAAAAACTCCCACCCTTCTGCTTAGGATTTGCTCAGGGGCCAAAAAGCTGATAGAAACGGAAGGTATTCACCATCTGAAAGTTCCAAGCCTCACCTTTCAAACGCATTATAGCATGTGATTATGGCAGGAACACCAGAATATTCTGTGGCTCTGCAAATATCAGGAAAAATTGATATAATGGCTGGCATTCTAGACCCCAAGCTGTGGAGACAAGACTGGCACTCAATGAGTTAATGTGCCGCTACAGGCTGGGACTTGTAAGCCCAGCTGACACTAATGGCCACACTGATGTCCACTAGGGGGCCACACCGACACTACACTGTGAGGTCTACTGGGGGGCCACATGTGTGAGTCCCCTGGTCTAGATAAAAAGCCCAAAATGAACAAAAATATTGCAAGATTTTGTATCTTTTAGACTTCCGCACTTACCCCCAGCCTTCAGGAACACAATGCCTTGTAAGTCTCTCTTCTTCAGCTCCAGTCCAAAGCATGCATAAATAAATAACCGTGTAACAATCATGACCTTTTCCCATTTCCTCAGTTTTGCTTCAGTTTCCCCATCAGTGAAGTGCAAGTGGGCAGAGTTCTGGGAAACACTCTGTATGAGGTGTTTACAGTGCTCTGAATCACATTCATTATAGATGAAGCTGTTAGAGGCTAAGACTGAGACTAATACTGAAGCTAAGGCTGAGACTGAGGTAGAGGCAGAGACTGAGGCAGAGGACTGAGGTGGAGACTGAGGCAATGAGTGAGTGACAGGTGGTCAGAGGGGCAGAGGGTGTAGACTGGCTTCTGTAAGACACCCCAGGTTCTTTCATTTAAGGAGGGGGCAGTTTTATGGGAACACTGTGATACACCATGAGTGATATCTCCATCTGTGGGATCTGCAGCTGGTTCAGGACCTCCTCCACCTGCTGAGTAGAGGTTAGGACCACAATCCCCCTTCTTCCATCCTCTCTCTGTGTTTGTTCCAGGAGCTGGCAGACCTCAGACACTTCCTCTCTATAGGGGGAGGAGGTACTGACCTCCTCCTCCTGGTGAGAGCAGATAATGACCTCCTCCTCCCCTTTGTTTGTTCCAGGAGCTTGCAGACCTGTCGTCACCTCCACTCGAAGCTGAAGAAGCAGGTTCAGGAGAAGATGGCAGAGCTGTCTCACGCCAACAGGAGAATGGAAGGACACGAGGCTGAGGTCAAGAAACTCCGGATGAGGGTCGAGGCGCTGAAGAAGGATCTGGGTCAAGCGGAAGACGAGGTACAATCCACCAGAAACACAAAGACAAACACGACAATCAATAAACACAGAGACACACCCCTCAACAAACACAGAGACAAGACCCTCAATAAACAGAATCCTTATGGTATTGTGTACTGTATATATTATTAAAACACACACACACACACACGTTTGTGCAGCTGAGCGAGGCCCAGAATCAGACCCGGAGGCTGCAGAGGTCCACTGGACGAACAGGTGGAGCAGACGGAGAACATGCAGGTGCAGCTGGAGCATCTACAGTCCCAGGTGAGTTCTGCTCTTGCCACAGCTGCCCTGAGGTACACTGACTCAGGAGTGGCTGCCAATATGTTAAGTTAGGTCAACACATTTGTATTGTGTCAACAATACATCATGTCTATATTGCCTGAGCTCAAATTGGCTGATTAGGTTTGATTACAGGTACATTGTATTAAACTACTAGGGTTAGTGGCAGAGGGCCATGATTGGCCACTGGGGCTTAAAGGACAACTAAGCACCAAATCAACTTTTTTAAACTTATGAACTGCATAAATATTTACAAATGTACATGTTCCTGATCATTTTTTGTCAATTTTTGTGCAAATTAGATAAAATCTCACTTTTGAGCCTAAAACTTGACTTTGTGACGCCTTCTCTACATTTTCGGTGGCACTTTCGGTGCAGCTATCGAGTATTTGGTAATCAAGTATTCTATCGAATACACCAATCGATTAATTGAGAAAAAATATACATATCAAATGAAACTATTTAATAATTATTTTTATTTTATTTTATTTATACAGTTTTATTGCATCCATACAGTATAATCAAAAGAAGACAAGGCAGCGGCGATTGCACCTGTACCACGGTTGATTTTTGAGGCCTTCCAGATTGAACAGAATCAGATGAGGCGCATGTCTCTGACCAGCATATTTCAAATGCTATCTATCAGAACAGCTGCTTGTGCTGGGAGCAGGAACTGGTCCTAAACAGGCTTGTGATGGTTCACTGAAAGACAGGAAAAAGCAATGGTACACCCCTTCCAGATTCAATATGTCCAATATTAGATAAACCACTGCTGACCTCACATGTCGTGCATCTCTGCAATAATTATAATAAGCAATATAGAACCACAGGTGTCACATGTGTCTATATAGTATGTGACTATATATGACACTATACACTACAGCATTTTATACTTGTTTTTCTATTAAAGTAATTTCATTTAGTATATCATTATTGTTCACATCTCTTGTGTCGTGTGCTCCTCATTCCTACAGTTCTGTAACTGCTGATGGATCTTGGTCTACAGTGTTCATACAGGCATATTATGTACGGAGTTGCAAATAACTGTTGTGGGAGTAGTAAAATACAAGTTGGCACTAGGATTGTAGTGAATGTCCAAATTAAGTAAAACATTCATAACACATGTCTTTTGTAGGTACTGATAAACCTTTCTGGCTTCATCACTGCGTTAACAAATGAAAGGCTAACTGTAAGCGGCTACATTGATAGTTTTCAACCTTGAGAGTTGTTCAACCTTGCCGCTCAGTGCTTGACTGTTCGCGGGAGTGGGAAAACCCCTCTGTGTTATAATTATCAACATTATCAACAACAAAGTTGACTTACCACGTCTCGGTCTTCCCTCGATGCTTCCTCGTCAGGAAGCAAACTGGTGCTATCATGAGATGCTAGCTATGTGTGCAAACTACTCCGCTTTTAGTGTTCAGAGTGAAGTGCTCCCCACACTTTAGGACGCTTCTAACTCTCGTTGCCAGTGCCTTTTCCGTCATCCTCCATGATATTACGATAGATAAATGCATTGTCCGTGAAAAAGTTTTACAAACACTATCGATGCATGCGGACCATGCAGACCGGTGCTGTGTAGCGCAGGGCACGTAAGATCTGTGACGTAAACATGTTGCGCAATACAAAAAAGAATCTGTGCGAAACAACAACAACAACGTATTCTTGTAAAGCCCTAAATCATCAATCCAAAGTGCTGTACACAAAACAAACACATTAAAAATACATATATAAAAAATAATTACCTAAAATCAAACATTATCAAGAGCAAGTGAAAAAAGATCAGTTTTAAGAAGTGACTTAAAAACAGGCAGAGACTGAGCCTGTCTTATCTCAATGGGTAACTGATTCCAAAGGCGTGGTCCTGCGACAGAAAATGAATTATTGTGCAGAAGTTACGATACCAAATGTATTTGTGTTTTACCAGCTTCATATTTTCCTTCCATAACTGTACTTACTGTATCCAGGAGCTCATGCTGCTAATGTCCAGTTGAAAACCATACAACTGTATATGTCTTCTATAGATTTCAGGATTCATGCTTCTTTTATAATGCTAAATTTAAGTATTTCTATTCTGTATATATGCTAAAGATATATACATCTATACATCTCTCTCTCCTCATGCGATAGCTAGATATTTTTGATCTTTTTTTGTTGTTTGCTGACAATATGAATCAATCATTCAATCAAAGTTTTATTTGTTTGAGGCTTTCTTGACAGGGCAACACAAAATGCGCTTCAAGTCCACATCAGCAAATCATCACATAAATCAAACAACAGAATCACTATTAAAACATTAAAATCACACTAAGATTAATACACAATTAAACAAAACAATATAATCACACAACAGAATTAAAAACTTAAACACTTTCAAAGTGACACATGAAATTACAAAATAAATAAATAAATGCCAGCAGTGCATTACATATGGAGATAAAATCCGTCAGTTTGTATGCACAGGCAAACAGAACAGTTCTTTAACCGGGATTTGAACATTGACTGAGTAGACGCCTCCCTCACATTTTCGGGGAGATTGTTCCAGATCTTAGCTGCATAGATTTGAATACGCAGCCTCCCTCCCCATGTTTGGTTCTCACTCTGGGCGACCAGCAGGAGGCCATGTCCCTGTGCTCATCAGAGTCCCGGGCTGTTCATATGACACAACATGTTCATAATGTATTCTGGTTGAAGGAAGTGCAATGGAGTAGACTTGTACACTAGCAGTAGCTGTTTTAAAATCTATTCTTTGTGGCCCACAGGAAGCCATGTGCAGAGACCGGAGGACCCGGAATCTAATATGGTCATACTTCTGTTCCTGTCAGGACTCTAGCTGCGCATTCTTGCGATGTACTGTCAGTGCTTACAGGTATGTTTGGACAGGACATGTAAGCAGGCCATTGCACAGTTAGGCTACCTGTGGGGACAAATGCGTGGACAAGAATCTCCATGTCTGCATGGACACTATATTTCTGGACTTTGGCAAGGTTCTTCATGATGGTAAAAAAGCTGTTGCTGTTATTGATTTTATAGGGGCTATTGAAATTTAGGTATGAGTCCAGTATTACCCCCAAATTTCTGACCGTGTCTGAAGGAAGTAGGGAGAGAGAGACTGATGTGGACAGATGTAAGCCCTCTTCTTTTGTTTCGGGGACTAAAGACAATGATTTCGGTTTTTGTCTGCTTTTTATGCTGGAGGAAATTATTTTTGCTTCCACTCAATGATCTGTTGGGTATACAGTGAAGGAGCAAAATCAGTGGTCCATGTTTCTCCTGCAGTCAGGAGACATAGATCTGTGTGTCGGCGGCGTTAATTGTGGTAGGACATTTGTTTCTTTGTATTAATCTGACCTAACGGCAAGCATGTTAGAGATTAAATAGGAGAGGGTCCCAGGATCGACCCTGTGGTACTCCAAGGTCAGGGCCACTATGATCTGAGACGCAGTCTACTATCTCCACAAAGTACTTCTATCCTCCAGTTAGACCTAATCCAGGCTAGGCTGTGCTAGTGACACCTTCCCAGTCACTCCAGTTTCTCTGATGAGGGATCTCATGGTCGACAGTGTCGCGAAACGCGGCTACTAAGGATCTACATGACATAACTAGTGAGCTGTTACCGGCATCAGTGTGAAGGTCGTATGTCGTTGTGTTACCTTTCACTAGAGCGGTCTCTAGTTGCTGTGGTGGGGTCTAAAAACCCAGACTGGGAACATATCAAAAGAATTATTCATTGTTAAATATTTCATTAAGTTGTTGGGAGGCCACTTTTTCAGATATTTTTCCAATGAATGGCAGATTCGATTATGGGGCGGATAATTTTGGAGTCCAGCAGGATCCAGACTGCTCTTTTTTAGGAGAGGTCTTATGACTGCTGCTTTAGGGCCATAGGAAATTGGTTCCTGACGACTGAGACATGTTTACTATTTGTGTCAGTGAAGGTAACTAAACTGTCAGGAACGGACTTTCAGAAATTTAGAGGCAATATTATCCAGGCTACATGTGGAGGAGCTCAGATCATGATTATCTTTTTGACAAGTTTCTGTATCCCTCAGGTGCAAGTGAGTTTTGCTCAAAAAGCTTCTCTGGGGCTGTTGCATTGTTATACGTGCTGGTGGAGTTGATAGTGTTTTGTTTCCTTGTACTGTGTTCATCGAAAAACTGTGCGAACTCATTACACCTAGATTTAGAGGAAAATTCTAGGGGCAACTTTACAGGGGGTTCGTTAATCTACCAACTGTTGAAAACATAACACGGGAAAATTGTTACTTAGCAACCTCCAATAATGTCAGAGAAAAATACATTCTCTTGTTATTCGTAGAACCCGGTTAACTTCACCCAATCATCTTTAAAGATTTCATAATCGCCCTGGAAATTGGGACTTTCGCCACTTACGTTAGGCCCTCCGGCACTCTTGCTTCTGGTGTGCTTGACCGAGTCTGCCTTTGTCCATGGGGCCTTGTTCTGACTGGGAAAACTATTTTTATACAGTCACAGGGAGCAATGGCGTCCAGAACATTCAGAACATCTGGTGCGTGACTGAGTTATACAATTCATCAAACAGTAGAGCATGGAGTTTCTCAAAATTTAGCATTCCCATGAACAGTTCACCGCGTGTTTTCATGTATGTGTCTTCTTCTAGCAATTGTAAATT